ATATATATATATATACACACACACACACACACACACACACACACACACACATATATATATATATATATATATATATATATATATATATATATATATATATATATATATATATATATATATATATATATATACACATATACATATATGTGTGTGTGTGTGTGTGTGTGTGTGTGTGTGTGTAAATGTATTTTTACATCTATACATCAATTTAGATTCTGAAAAATCGCTTATATTCTGAATCAAAATATGTGACCTAGAGAAGTCTGAATATAAAGATTTGTAAAAAATAAATATAATAATAAATAAATAGAAAATAAAAAGTCTGCTTAATTTTTGCAATTAACACATTTTTAATAAACAAAAACTAATTAAATATGTAGTTAATTCAATTAATCACTTAATTTGGTTATTATAGAATATTTAATCAATTGGTAGCCCTAATATTTATATATAGGTGTTTACTCATTACTTATTTACATCCTTTTGCACATGAGTTTTATTTTAGAAGATTTACCTGGTTTGCATTGGGAAAAAGCACTGGTACCAGTCTGAAGTTCAAACATCTCTGCAGAATGAATTCATTTTGAATCTAAAAAAAAAAACACACACACACAACAAAAAAAAAAAAAAAACAATTTAAACTTGCCCAGCTTACCCAGACACCAAACAATTAAATATAATCAGAATATACATTAGAAATTGTTATATTATACAGATCTTACCTTAATCTTATCTTAAACTTAATTTGATATAAATAAAACGTCCCCAAACGTCTAAATTCTCTCATCATTCTAAAGGAACTAATTGGCATATCGCAGTGGATCAAAATGAGTTTGAATCGGAAATCTTGGTCAAGCACCACATTGTCTGATTATTGAACTGGATCGAGGGCTTATACCATCACGGTAAGCCAATTGATTTGACTATCTTTACCAACACTTTGTGTGCAGATGTTCAGGATACCCTTTACCAAATGTGGTAAATTATTTATTTACCCAACAATGGGACTTAACTACAGGATTTTCAACAGGAAACCTAATCAACTGCCTCACAAGGCACATGACTCCCGTGTCATGTGCCTGTCATATGGGACATCCTGCCAGATGGACACTTTCGTACAGACGAAGGATTTCTGTAGTTAATGCAAATTAATCAAACATCACTTGAAGTGTTACAACTAAGGCAGATGCATCTTTGAATAATATGCCATAGTTTTCCTCGTATACCATGTTTGTTTATTGCAACCACAGTAACCAACCAAGTTAATCAATGTGTTTTTAACCGTCATAGCAGATGAAACCTTCTGTATGTGTCTGAAATGTATGATGTCTGGTACTAAACGAAAGCTTGTGACATTTGCATTACATTGGGTTAAATCAGGGGTCACCAATCTCGGTCCTGGAGGGCCGGTGTCCCTTCAGGTTTTAGGTCCAACTTACCTCAACACACCTGCCTGGGTGTTTCAAGTATACCTAGTAAGACCTTGATTAGCTTGTTCAGGTGTGTTTGATTAGGGTTGGAGCTAAAATCTGCAGGACACCAGTCCTCCAGGAACAAGTTTGGTGACCCCTGGGTTAAATGATCAATTAGTAATACAAACAATATTCGTCTTGTAATTGTATTGACATTCGACTTTGATGTAGGATAGTTACAAATTTACAAGAGCTTTCACCACGTAAAATGAACAAGCAATCTGTTAATGACTGACCCTTAGTACAATGGTACGGGGCATGGCCCCGCCCTCCATGGCAACCGCTCATTGGAAAACCAGGTCAAAAACAAAAAAATAAATAAAAT